GCAGAGGTAGAGATACACAGCTAAATACTTTGGGAGTCCATTCCCTATGGAGGGATGCTCTCTCAGCCTAGATACATGGGGTACAGCCTAGACCTTGCCCCAAATGATACGACAGACTTTGATGACACTCCATGGAAGGTCTCACCCTCCTTGGGGAGTGGATGGGGGTATCTTGGTGGGGAATAGGAAGATAGGAGGGAAAAGAAACTGAGATTGGTATATAAAATAAGATTGTTTTTAATTTAAATAAAAATTATAAAAAAGGATATACAAAGGTTGGATATTCTAAGAACATTAGTGGACACTCAATATTTTTAACATTTGTTTATTTGTTAATTTATATAATTTATGTATTTATTTTTCTCCCTCCATGTGTATGTATGTATATTTGTATGTATGTATGTATGTATGTATGTGTGTGTGTGTGTGTGGGTGTATGTGGATGTATGTGTGTGTGTATGTGTATTCATCCATATAGGTGTGTGTAGACTTCAGAGACCAGCTTTTGAGAGTTTCTCTCTTTCTAAGGGGTAAATCCATGGATCAAACTCAGGTTAACAAGTTTGGTGGCAAGTACCTTTACCAGCCGAGCCTTCTTTTTAACCTTCAATAACAAAGAACATTTTATAGTAAGTGCTAAAGCGCACTCTTAGGTATAGAACCAAACTAAGAAAATTTGCTGGGTATTCTTAAAGACAAAACATCAAATCAATAAACTATGTAAGTGACATCAATTGTAGTGTGCCCAGCTAGTTAGTAGTTGGTGTATTCACAAGTATGCTTCTACATGTCATCTTATTTGCTCCTCTCATCTACCTCAATGCATGGATAGAGAAAATTTTATTTTGCCTCTAGTTATGGTGGCCATGAGGACAAATGACCTGTATATCACTACATGGCTCAAAGGAGAGGGATTGGAACGAAGTTGCAAACTGTTGTCCTGAAAGTCTTGTGTAGATTCTGTGATGTAATTTAAGGAAGTTTTGAGGATTGAACACCAAATACTCTACAGTGAAAATAAGTGGTCTTCACACTCCACATATACACACATACACACAATAGAAAAGAATCACAACAGATAAGAACACAATTGGAAGTTAACACTGAGTCAATCCCAAAGGCCTATCTCTGTGACTCCAAAACCAAGACATAGAAAAGTGAGAGATGGCTTCTTGTTTGGCATGAGGCCAGAAGGAAGAAACTATTCCTGATGATCAGGCAGGAGGCTTTAAATATGAGGAGACCCTCCTGATTTTTTCTTTCTCTCTTTTTTCTCTTTGGTTTGTTTGTCATTTGACAGTAGGAGAGATAAGACTAAGTGCTTTGCACCTGTTAGAGAAGAGCACTGCCAATGAGCTGAAACCCTCTGGAATCTTATCATTTAATAAGTATAGTCACCAAACTTCCAGAGGAAGGCTCATATGACTACAGTGTCACTGAGATGTCACATGATGCTGTAATTCGCAAAAGAAGACTTGAGGCCCATGGGGGACGTTTAGGTGAAGTTTTGGCAACTGTGGTGGGTGAGGGCCAGAGGGAGCAGTGGCCAGAGACCTTTAGAAGTTTCTTTCCCTTAGATTTTAGCAGCAAAGGGTGGCAGTCAGAGCAACAAACCTGGCTTGATGCCAGGCTGTGTAAGAGTACAATTCAAAAGTGGTTTTCACATTTTAAACAGTTACACAAAAATAAAAGAAGAATAACATTTTGTGACAGAGGAATATTCCACAAATCTCTTATCTCAGCCTCTAGCATTTTGGATCATTTGTAAAGGAAAGCTTTTCTTTGAGAGAAGCCTTCCTGCCAGCCTGGTTCTAGTGCCGCATCAATCCCAAATAACACACAGGAGGCTATATTAATTATGAAACTGTTGGCCTTGCTTGTTTCTTACTGGCTAGCTCTGACTTAAGTAATTCCCCCATAATTGTTACTCTAAGTATTTCTCTTACCGGAGAATAGTTCCGGGCTTCCTACCCCATGGCGTTACACCTTGACTCTCTGTATTTCTCCTACCCAGAGTCCTCCTGGACTCCTAGTCCCACCTATCTAACTTCCCTGTAGGCCCAACAGAGCTTTGTTGAGAAATAACAGGACTTCCCCAACAATCATTGTCATGCCCATTTGTTTATGTATTTTCTGTGGTCATTTCCAGACTGTGAAGACAAAGATGAATCATGATAAGGGGTCTCAATAGCCTAAAATATCTACTTTCTGGACTTTCACAGAAAATGTTTACTGATCACTAATATCTGGACTCTTTGTTTTCAATTGTTGATCTACACTACTAAGTATTGTTCCAAAGGCTATGGTCTTCTAAGGTCTACACTGCCATTATCTGTTCTGATCTTATAGACAGGGAAAAGGGATACGGTTCTAGATGCAAAGTTGGAATAGTGAAGTGAAGGAGAGATGGGATTTAAAAGGCATTAAAGCTATCCTGATACTGAAGGTGGACATATAAAATAATTGTTCAACTCAGAATCAAATCATGAGATCAACTATCTATCTGTCTTAAATGGGCTATTTTCTGCAGTATTACTCCATTTTCCCAGGGAAAAACACTGTTATCAGCTGCAATTTGAATTCTTACCCCATACTGGGATCATATTTGAAATGGAGCTTAGGAGAGGTAATTAATCTTTTCATAAGACTGCTATTCTCACCATAAGGCTCCCATGTGATTTGTTCCTTTATAAGACCAGGTAGCTGGGAGTTTGATTTTCCTCTCTACCATCTGAGGATATAGCAAGAAGGCAGTCCTCCAAATGACAGCGAGTCCTCAAGCATGATGCTTGGGGTCAAAAGGCTTTGGGAAAGGAAAAGTGGAATACAGCAGGGGAAGGGGAGATTTTTTTGTCTTTAAAAAGGAAGAGAACAACAACATGCTTAGGGCCACCTCTGAGAGATTCAGTTTTCTTGTTCCAATTAAGTGATCAGAGTTTATCAGTGAGTCTTCCACTTATCCTGTTGTTGAATTAATGAACCTGAAGAGACTAGAATCCCCGGGTTCCACCCATGAACATCTAATTACAAACTTGTATGACAAGTTTACTGATCTCCTCTATCATAAGTCATTAGGAGAGTAACATTTAAATCAGGGAAAAAATGGGTTTCCATGTAATTTGTATAGTTTTTTCTTCTTTTATTTTAGAAACAATCTTATTTTTCATATTATTGGCCCCATTCCCTTGCCCTCCAAACCTCCCATATCTCCAACCAACCCTTTTTTTTTGGTTTTACGAGATAGGGTTTCTCTGTATTGTTTTGGAGGCTGTCGGTCCAGCCTGGCCTCGAACTCACAGAGATCCGCCTGCCTCTGCCTCCCAAGTGCTGGAATTAAAGGCATGCACCACCACCGCCCGGCCCAACCGACCCTTTCTAAAGTACCTGCTGTACTAGAAATTTTCCTCATACTTAATACTTTCAGACATACTTAATACTATTTTTTAAAACATAATTGTTTTACCTTGTTAATGACAGGAGATGTTTTGAGTGAATGTAGGATCATTGTTTTATAATTGACTTGATATTTGTTTTTTTTTTACTTTCAAGTTTTCATGCATATGATTTTATTTATTTTAGGGTTTCTCATGATATTTTCTTAGTTGGCTTCAATATTTCCTGAAAATTTTGGTTACTTGTGTTTATCTTTAATTGACTTCAATTTCAAAGTTACTTAGAGCTGTGGAATGTGCTTATTTCTTCCCATCAACCTTGCTTGGTCTTTGGTTATTGTTGACTAATTTGTTGTAGCTTTGCCTTCTTCTGTCTCGGTCAGTGTTCCTTTGCTGTGAAGAGGGCCACACTTATAAAAGAAGTCATTTAACTGGGGGCTTGCTTACTGTTTCAGAGTTAGTTCATTATCATCAGGGTGAAGTGTGGTGCTGGAGGAGTAGGTGAGAGACCTATTATCTTTATCCATAGGCAGAGGGAGGAAGGGAGAGAGAGAGAGAGAGAGAATGAGAGAGAGTGAATGAAAGAGAGAGAATGAGACAGACAGACAGACAGACATACAGACAGACTCTGGGCTTGTCATGCACTTTTGAATCCTAGAAGCCCAAAGCCCACCTAGTGATACACTTCTTTCTACAAGACCATTCCTCCTAAATTTCCTAATCTTTCTAATCCTATTAGAGTGTTCTTCTCCCTGGTGACTAAACCTTCAACTATGTGAACCAATGGAGGCCATTCTTATTCAAACTACTACAGTATTTATAGGCAGTATGCAGTGTGTGCCCTTGGCATCTCCCAACTGATAGCATTCACTTCAGCTTCCTCTGTGTCTGACATGGCTGCTTTGACTCTTGAAGCTGCATTCTCCCTTCCTTTATTTTATTTTTTTTCCTATTTTAAGTTATCTGCTCAAATTGCACTTCAAAAAATTAAAATAATTATTTTGGGTTGTTCATGTAGGTTTTTTCTCTGTCATTTTATAATTAAGAATTTTTTTAATATACAGAGTTACTTATTATCTGTGCTAGGGTTTCCTTTGATGTGAAGAGACACCATAACCATAACCCATAACCATGGCAACTCTTATAAAGGAAAAACATTTAATTTTGGCTGGTTTGCAGTTTCAGAGGTTTAGTCCATTATCATCTTGGTGTACAGGCAGACATGATGTTGGAGATTGAGCTGAGAGTCCTGCAGCTTGATCTGCAGGCAACAGGAAGTGAACTGAGACATGGCTTGAGCATACATGAGACCACAAAGCTTGTCTCCACAGTGACATGCTTCCTCTAACATGGCCCAACCTACAACAACCAGTCCCTGCCAGCTAATGAGGGCAAATTATATTCAAGCTACCACACTTATTATTCAATATCATACATTTGTATCTTTTCCTGCAAGTTTTTGAAGATTCCCCACTGTTTCAAGTAACCTGCTTCTGATATCCAAAGGTTAAAACCTCATGATCTAAAGTCATACAGACATCGATTTTTACATCAAGCCCTGTTGTCACAGACCATTTAACCCTGGTTTTGGATTTGTGCTTCCCTCAGGCCCTTCTCATTAGAAGAGGAATGTTATCTTCCAGTGAAGACCCATGGAGAGTTTATTCTATAGACCTGAGGTGAGAAAAATGCCCATGTCTTTGAGGTACCTGAATATCATTTTCTGTTAATCTTTATGAGCTTTTCCTTATTTTTATAACAGATTATTGATCTGTTCTGTTTTGATTGCAGACTGTAGATATAAGCTAAAACTATTATTTCCAGTTTATTATTTGTTTTTTTTAATTTGGTTTACATGACATTTTTTTCCCAAAATGTTAATGCACTTCTCATTAATTTTTTTCTGTAGATTCTGAATCAGATGAGGTGAATAAATGTCATATTTCCTATACACTACATATACAAGTTTTACTATTTATTGAGGTAAGCCTGACTTATCCAGTTACATTTTGGATTGGGTTTTCTAATTCTACTGTGTCTTCTAAATTTACTGATAGGCTCCAAAAAGAAATACCTTGATTTGTCCATCACAGATACTATCTTACATGTATCACTACCAACTCATAAATGTTTCTGTCAATGTGTTCATACAATATTTGCTATGATTCAGTTTGGTGATTCCCTTATTCAATTTATTTCTTCCTCAAGGTGTCTTCCATTCAATGTTGACATGATTATATTGATTTTTAGCACTTCTTTGCTCTCTGACACATGAAAAAATCTAAACTCACTGTGCTTAGATTGGAAGCTAGCCATACCTCAGATAAGTTATAGCTGTATTTACAGAGAAAAAAATTTAAAGACTAATGGATGCTTCTCCTTTTTTGTGGTTTTATGAGACAGGGTTTCTCTGTATTGTTTTGGAGGCTGTTGGTCCAGCCCGGCCTCGAACTCAAAGAGATCTGCCTGCCTCTGCCTCCCGAGTGCTGGGAATGCTTCTCCTTTATAACATAGTCAATATATGTGTATACACTTATGACTATATATGCTCAATATATGTGGATACAATATGATTTTATATATATGTTCAATGTATGTGTATACAATGTATGTGTATTAAATATATATGTGTATACAATTATGACTATATATATGTTCAATATATGAGTGTACAATATATGACCACAATTATGTGTATATTTATTGTTCATATAAATGTGCAAATGCACACATATGAATGGAAATGCCTGCATATTTATAGTATTCTTAAATATTCAGATCCATCCACTAGAGTAGTAACAGCTTAGATTCTTACAAGTAATATGTGACATAGTATATTTACCTACATGTTTTCCAATGAAATTTACCCTAAAATTTTACAGTTGTACTAGACAAACAGATTTAACCCTTACCTTGATTTAATTTTATAAGGGAAAATAAACCTTTATTAATAGTTCAGTATGGCACCCAAGCCCTTAATGAAACATAAAGAAATCATTGTTATTAGTGTGACAGCCTAACGCACTTTGTTTTCCAATATTATATAAAATCTATGAATAATGTTAATGCTAGTCTCAAGTGGGTTTAACATGAATTCATTCATGAGAAAGCAGCTTAAAAATTTTTTACCTATTCTTCAAGGTAACTTGCTGGGGCTTCTACAAAGAAATCAGTATCTTAAAAAAATCACAAACACAATGATATATGACTTCTAATTAACAGAGGTTAAAATAATGTGACACCGTGTTTTTAAAAATTGTGAAATACATCTTAGAACCACTGTAGACATGCAGAATCAAGCTCTAGATGATAATGCTAATTTTCTTGTATAGAACAATGCTTTTATTTTTAAGATGCATGGTGAAATATTTAAGGATGAAATACATTGCTGCTACGACTGAATCTGACTTCCACATTGTTCAGAGATAGCCCAATTATTTCAAAGGAGATGTAGAGAACAAATGTGGCAAAATGCTAACAGGTATTGAGTATAACAGAGTATCTTCATGTGTTCACTGTACCAGTCATTCAATTTTACTGTGTTTCAGAGTTTTTATTATATGATTTAAAGAATAAAAAGATAAACACAGGTTGATATAATGAAGATCTCTGATTCAATGCATTGGTCCAAACCATTTACTGACACCCATGGGAAATGCTCAGTGGAGGATGGCATATTAGGATCCTTCAAGTACAGTCACTCTTCCCTGTCTATAGGTTATACACTGTGGTTCCTAAAGAGCCAATTTATAAAGACTATAGGCTTATGTTTGCTCTTGGTTTTGGTGGGTCTATGGTTGATCTGCCTTGGTACTTTTATACCTGTGGCAAGGCAGAACATTGTGGCAGTGGTGGGTGATTCTACAAAAGCACTCACTTTGTAGAAAGGATAGAAGATAGAAGAGGTCGACTATTACATTCTACAATTCTCCTCTAGGCATAGCTTCAATGACCACTGATTTCCACTAGACTTTGCCTCTTAAATGCTCTATGACTTCTAAGAGTGCTTCAGCAGTTTTATGATGTGAATATTTGAGGCATATCAAACAACTAAGGATAGTGTATATATAGACATTTTTACTTGTTATATTTCCTAATCACTGCAACATAGCAAACATACAGTAATTATATTGTATTTAGTGTAATCTGGTGATAAGTTAAAATACATGAAAGGATTATGTAGTTTCTGGAAAATTATAATAATTTATGGATGTTCAACACCTATGGATTACAGTATAGTAACATCCTAAAGGAGCAAAAGATTAGCTTGTATATGATTTACCATGACTGAGATGACTTGAACAAAGATCTAAGGAGGCTTAGAAGGCAAAGTATTTGTTCTGATCTGCATACTCATTTCTGATGATGTCCAGTTGTTATTTAGTCTGAATCACAGTTTTCTCTCATCAATTCTATTAAGCATTATAACCTAAGTCACTGCTTAGAAGAGTGACTCTCTCACAGGCATCCCTTGGGCACAAACAGCAGATTTCTTCATCCACCATACACAACTGTTTATTTTCTTTTTAGTTCTGTGGCCTCTCTTCTTCCAGTTCACTTTTTAAATTTATTTAATTTTCATTTCTAATTTTGCCTCAATAGAACTATCAAATTATTTTTAACTTTTTAAGAACTTATATAGAACTTTTTCCCATTTTCAAACTTCAACAAATTTTGGCTAAAATGTCAGGGAAGAGACTGATGGAGCTTACATAATCATTTAAATATATCTAGTAATAAAAACATCAAAAGTAAATGGCCTATGAAAGTTATAAGTTAGATCTAAAAAGCACTGGCATCCTAAATTCTTTGCCAACTTAAATGGTGCAATATGGGTACCATTCATTGCAAAGACAACTATAAAGACAAAATATAAACATATAGGCTATTTCCCAGGCTGCTATTGATGAAAAAGTTCAAGGAGTACACCCTCCATGCGCACACACACACACACACACAAAGCGCGCGCACACACACACACACACATGCACACATACACACACTATCTCCTTTTAGGTCATTGCTAGAAGAACCTAGGAACAACAAGGCATTTGGCTATATACCATCCTGTATGGAGTAAGGACTTAAAAATTATGGGAAAAGGATTTTTAAGAAGTTAAATGACCCACTTTGGACTTCAAAATAGTGGGACAGGACATAGAATAAAAAAATACAACATCAGTTTGTGTCCCATACAAAATACAACAAATGTAACTAAACCTTAAAATAAGCATGATGAGCTTGTTATTTTTATTTGAAAGAAAACATTTTACTGCTGGGATGGGAAATGGATGACATGTTTGTGTGTGGTCAACTGTTATATGTAGATGTCACTGCGTAATTTCTCCAAAGATTCTTGGTATTTAATTTGACCTATAATATATTAAAAACAGATTTAATGTTTGATTGCACTGATTTAAAGATCTAGTGAGTTCTTTTCTATGCTTATGAAGATGAAACTCCATTTGGTCAATTTCCTGTTTAATCTTCTTTAAACTTATTTTCATAGACTGTTAAAAAACAAAGACAAACAAAAACAAACGAAAAGCAGTGATACAAATATTTTATTCTTCTTATATACAACTAAACATGTTTTTTTTCACTGTATTATATATGATTTAATCCAGTAAAGCAGAGGTACAGCATGTAAGAAGACAAGCTGTAGGTAGACCATTTCAGGAGCATTTGGTGGTGGAAGGTGTAACTGGGGGATCTCCACAAAGCAGAAAGATGAACCCAGAGTTTATTCAATAAGTGTTCACATATGGACAATGTACATGCCATTATTTCAAGATGTGGTCTAGGTACACATCAGGGATCATCCTCATGAAACACTGTTTGTGAGACATTTAGATGGAGTTGCTTTTATATATCTCTGCAATGTTCAAATTTCTTTGCTTTGGTATTTTTTTCTGGTGGGGGTAGAGTGGGTTTTTAACTTCTAGTTGATGGCTTCCTAAGGGTGTGTAAATGCCTGCAGAAACTGCCTCCCGATGTGAAATCTACCTAAACTTATTTAGTGCTTCAGGAAAATAAGATTTGGAAAGTGATCTTTGACTAAGAAAAGAGAGATTGCTAAGAAACTAGATAAGGGATTCTCTAAAATACAGGGAAGGCTGCTGTGTGAGATCCTGCTGTGTTGTAGGGAATTTTTTTTAAATCAGGAACTCTTGCCTTCAAATCCTAGACCTCTTCCTTACTGACAATGTTGTTTTGATCACTTTGAGCCTCATGTCCTCCTCTCCTTTCTGAAGTCTCAAGGTAGTCACAAGGGTTACATGCAGTAGTGTTCATAGCAGGCATCTGACCCTTGCTGACTTCTCGCTTCTCACTAGTGGGTAAACTACGAACCAACTACACCATAATGTTTCCCTTAAAAATTTCCCTTAATAATGGAATAAAAGCACAACGAATTCTTTCCATGTTGCCGCTCCCTCTGTTTATCCTTGTGTGTAATATTTCTCCAAGATGTTTATAATTTATCTGCCCCTCTGGGATCTTTAATAAAACTATATGCCCAGGAAGAACCCAATAAGCAGTTATTTGAAAAAAAATTCCATCAACATTTCATTTCTACCTTACTTGGCTCCTAAAGGACTCTGAAGCATATCAATATCACTGAGAAGTTTCATCTGTATATATTGAATTACCAATTCGAATTGATAACGTGTCAACTGTGAAAATATCACCCCTAATGACTTTATTAAATAAGCAAACGCCATGCATGTAGTTCGATGTTTAAAAGAAATGGAGCATAAAAACTTCCCTTATAAATAGGCTTCTGTTCCTCCACTGATTCAGCCATTTCCATTCTCAGTGTGCTGTTCAGGTTACAGTTGTGATGCTCAGATCATCAGTCACTCTGGGTTATTTGTATTTTCTCTTAAGATCACTGTAGACTTGCTTGTTCTTTAAAAGCATCATTCTCTTTTTCTAATATGTTCATATCACTAATTTCCAATTATTTTACCATTTTGAACCCT